ACTTTCATCACACTTTCTCGTAACCGCTGCTCCGTTTCAAGTATGCTGATAAACGAACAAAGAAGTTCCGAGGAGTTAGATCTGGGGAACGCGCTGGTCAGGACACTTCACTGCAGGTTCCGATCTACCTTCCGGGGAATGTGTGAAAAAAATCCTCTTGAACTTGTCTAGAGTAATGTGCAGGAGCACCATCTTGTTGAAACTAACAGTTATGTACCAAAGGTAAATTATCCAAGCAGTCTTCTAGATCATGTTGCAGAAGTTGGAGGTACCGTTGTGCAGTTAATGAGATATAAATAATTGGCCCCTAGAATTCCGCACCCCATAATAAACCCAAAACATTCTTGATGCCTGGATAGTTTTTTAGTCCGCAGATTTTCTTGAGCCCAGTAATGAGTGTTGCGGCGATTAAAATACCATTATTAGTGACCATACTCTCGTCAGACCATTCTACTTTTGAAGGGAAATTAAAATTTTCTTCATACGTTCGTGTTGTCGACTCACGAAAGTGCTGGCGCCGTTCGCTATTCCCTGGTCCTTAGCAAATCCTGAATTTATAAAGGTGATATCGATTTTTACGCAAAACACATTGGGCTGTGGATTTGAATACTCCTACATTATTCTCAATTTGCCTAGTCAATATATCAGAGCTCTCAGCAACTGCTTGTAAAACACTATTCTGAGCTTTCTCTAAAGATTCATTTTTCCGAGACGTAACAGACCTTTTGAATGAACCATATTAATTTAAATTTCGAGCCAGCTCTAAGAAAATTGACTTACTTGGTTGCCTTCTTTCGGGAGATTTATCAAGATACATTCCTTCAGTATTTTTAGTATCTATGTAGCACAACATGTATCACGTCATCATATCTATCTTTTCTTCATTGCTAAAATGACCGCCTCTCATCTTTGATGGTAATAAAGCAATATTAACAATACACAATAATGACAATACTCGATGACAAGTATTTACGTCAAGCCAAGTATTTATTTGCTACGCCTACTTAAACAAAAATAGAAAAAACAAAACAGAAAAAATGCATTTTTTCTTATAACCAAGAAAATAAATGCAACATGCGATACATCGTTGAATTCGTATAAAATATGCTATTAGATACAGGGTGTACTTTTGTCGAACCACATAAAAGATAAAGTTGATGATGGCTTGGCAAAAACAAACCATCGGGCACAAATTTTAAAAATACCATCATTTAGTGGATGAAAAATGCCAATAGAAAAGTTTCATAGGTTCTTTGATATATGATATTGAAATTTTAGCATTTTACAAATATCTCAGTAATCCATGACATTTTTACAATCTTCTCAACGGCATGTAAATACGTCCCAAAGAACGCATCTTCTTCCTGAATTAAACCTGAGCGGTATCTTTCACAGGTAGTGAGAACTCCACTCATAGGATCCTTATCTTGGATGCCCTGTAGTAAGAGAATTATGTTCCGTCCTCTTCGAAGTAAATATTTAGAATACATATTGTAGTACCCTCGTAGTAGTACCCAATCCCCACGATTTCAAAGCGCGCACGCAGCGAAGGAAAGCGGCAACGTGCCCCCTCCCCCTACCCCTCCCCCTACCCCTCACCCTTCTGACCGCCAATAAACCTTCATTCCTTGCTCTCGTGCCAAACTGTTAACACCTCCATCGGCGCGCATTTCTTCGTTTTCAGCGGTGTCGAGGAACCGCTGAACATTTAGGATTAGAAAACAGGACATAAGGTTGGCCGATAGATGTGCATTGTCGAACGAGATACCCACAGACGGTCGCCTGAAGGTTCCTTTCGTCGAGGAGCAAAATTAGAAAGTGGCGTGTAGGCATCCTTTTCTGAAAGGGCGTCACCACCAGGTAACTGTCGACTAACCGAGCTGTTTTAGGTGCAAGTTAAATGAATATTAGTATGGATGCCTGCGCTGCGAACTGTGCCTAATATGACGTTTGGGATAACGTTCTGACACTGTTACTTGGGATAGCAACCTGGATCTAGCTTGGATAGCCAACTCCATAACTAGGATGAACAAAGACGTTTAGGATAACGCTGAAATATTAAACTCGGTTGCTTGGGGTAGCAACGTGGACCTAGCTTGTGATAGCCAACTCCATACCAAGGAAGAAGAAAGACGTTTGGGATAACGCTGATACATTAGACTCGGTTGCTTGGGATAGCAACGTGGACCTGGCTTGGGATAGTCAGCTCCACACCAAGAACGAACGAAGGCATTTGGGATTATGTGGAAGCATTAGACTCGGTTGCTTGGGATAGAAACGTGGACCTGGCTTGCGATAGTCCATACCAAGGACGAATGAAGATGTTTGGGATAATGACTTAATACTGAACTCCGTTGCACAAATAACAACACTGAAAGCGTTTTGGATAACGTAGCAACAAGGTATGGTCAACAATTTCTAGTCAATTGCTTGTGATAGCAAATTTCATATGGTTTGTGATAACCATAGAACAGGACTGTAAGTTTGAAGATGGCAGGTTAGGAAGTCTTTAAGATATATTTTTCCTTATTACCAGATAGAGGTTAGGTTTATTATGCTAGGTTAGCGTTACATTTTGCTTGTGACGACAAATTCCATCTGGTTTGTGATAACCTTGGAACAGCATAATAAGATTGCATAAGAAACCGCCGAAGTACCATTTTTCATTAATAACAAAAATAGATTAGGTTCATCTATGCGAGACTGGCATTAAATTTTGTTTGAGATAGCAAATTCTATCTGGTTTTTGATAGCAATATAGCATTTTTCATCTATAATAGATAAAAATTGGATACATCTATGTGAGACAAGCGGCACATTTTGCTTGGGATAGCAAATTCCATCTGGTCTGTGATAGCAATGTAGCAATATAGCATTTTTCATTTATAACAGATAAAAATTGGGTACATCTATGTGAGACTAGCGGTACATTTTGCTTGGGATAGCAAATTCCATCTGGTTTGTGATAGGAATGTAGCAATATAGCATTTTTCATTTATAACAGATAAAAGTTGGATACATCTATGTGAGACAAGCGGTACATTTTGCTTGGGATAGCAAATTCCATCTGGTTTATGACAACTATGGAACAATATATTGTAAGGACGCACATGAGAAGTTAGGAAGAAGCCGAAGTACCATTTTTCATTAATGAACGACAGAGATTAGGTACATCTATGCGAGACTAGCGCTCATTTTGCTTCTGATGGTAAATTCCACGTGGTTTGTGATAACCATGGAGCAGGTGTGTAATTATGAAGACGTCAGGTTAGAAAACCGCCAACGTATATCTTTTTCTTATCGAGGTTAGCATCACATTTTGCATGTGATAGCACATTTCATCGGGTTTGTGATAACCTTGGAACATCTTTGTCAGAATGTACATGACAGTTTAGGAAACTACTAAAGTACCATTTTTCGTTAATAACAGATAGAGATTAGATTTTATCTATGTAAGACTAGCGTTACATTTCGCTTGTGATAGCAAATTCCATATGGTTTGGAATAGCCTTCGAACAGGTCAGTAATACGCACATGACAGGTACGAATCAGCTTCATTAACAACATATAGAAATTAGGTACATCTATGGTAGACTAGCGTTACATTTTGCTTATGATAGCAAATTCCACCTGGCTGGTGATAACTATGGAACAGGACTGTACGTATCGGCTCAAAGAAACTGGCAGATGCGGTCAGAGGTATTGAAATATCCAAATCTTAGTTGTATAATTTCTCGGACTGGGACATTCGTTGGCCAGGGAAAAGTCTCTAGTTTTTGGTCACTCGAGAAGAAGATCCCACATGCTAATCATTAAGAACCACTGGTAGCTGGTAGTTTTCTTCTGTGGTGAATGCTTTGCTACCGAATTGATGGACTGTCGCATATTATTCTCCATCCTACATCAACAGAATGGAGAGCTTCTAGTTTCCACGTTTCCACGTCTGGACCAGGTTGCGGAAAAACTATGGCAATTGTGTAAAGAGAAAAATAGCCTTCGCGTCACATATAAAATCTAAGAGTAATGCTGATACGGATGAGCTTTTGCGTCAGTGGGACGTGGAAATGGAGTGGGAGCTACACCTGTCACCGTCCTGCTTTTGGTTCATATATTGTGGGCTTAGATTACGGTAGGACATTTGTCGGGAAGAAATACATGTCTGGTTTTCTACCTTGAAATTTCTTACCTACAGGTGATAAGAGAACAAGATATAATTGTTTGAGCTATCAGTCTTTTACCCAAAATGTTACTAACGTTGCAGACATAAGATGGTTTTTGAAGGGCGCTGACAGGCTGAGGCCATCTCAACTGAAATATAGATACTGTTTTTGTTCTCAACCAACCAAAGGGGTTGCTGGTAAGCTCTGTAGATATTTGAATGAGGAAACCAGCAACATTGCTAGTTCTAACCTCAGGTCAGAGTGTGCAAACTAATTGAAACAGACAACATCGGGATTGGGTTGAATAATATTGAAATTGGGATTTCTCGTTTTTGAAAGTCTCGGGGTCACTCATGTGGCAACCACTTTCAGTTTTACCGTATTTTACGCCCAAATAACTGTGCAATCAGAGTATTTATTTGTCACTGTACATTAACTTTATCATGGTGCATCTGCTCCCAGATGGAGTGTGTTCTCTGAGATACGTCACAAATCTCTGATGCCAAACAATAGCTTTGCTCAAGCGGCATTTGAGGTGAACCAAGTCTCCACAGCTTAAACATAACTATGTTATTACGTTATTTGCTTATTACCGTGTAATGGATGGTAATTTTTAAACCAGGTACGTCATAGTACCTGTTGCTAAAAGCCCTAACTTGACTTGTTACATACATTGCGTACAATTTGTGTAATTGTGTACAACATATCGTTTACTATTGAAGAGTGTTAGTAGTACGTTGTTGCAACTAGCATTGAACATCTACGATATTGAAGTCACGTTGAGATGGCAGACGATGTGGACGTATGTGCTATATGTGCTGATAATTTCATTGTTAACAGTAAAGTAATAAAATGCAAGCTGTGTGTGAAATCATTCCATCCTGTGTGTGTTGGATTGAAGGATCTAATCTGCAAGTATCTGTGCGAGTTTGATAATCTGATCTGGTTTTGTGATAACTGCAAACAAACAGGAAACTCTAGCGTCACTAAATCGCAGCTGGATGTTAATAGTGATAGTAATTCGCGCATGTTGATACTGCAAAAAAAATCGAATTTCTTAATAGAGAGAAGGATATCCAGGCTAAATTAATCAGCGAACTCAAGTCTTCCTTGGAGTTACATAAATTCAAATCCGATACGTTACAAAAAGAGCTCAGTGAGGAAAAAACTGCTATTACTCCAGTAAAAAATATTGCCAGCACGAACACGTATAGTCAGGTATTACAGAAAAATGTAAAGAATGAGAAAAATGTAAAGAATGATAAAAATGTAGTACAATCGTCCGTTTTACTAGTGAAATCAGCTGATAGGAATAATAGAGATGATTTGTTAAAAAAATTAAAGAAGGGGTTGCTGTGTACTGCAAGGGAGATGTGGCAAAACTCAAAAATGCTGTCAATGGTCAACTAAATGGCCGTTTGACTGCCAACGAGTTGAAAAAATATAACCCCTGTCTGCTAGTATAAAATGTGAATTTCTATGATGATATCAAGGATGACAAGATGTTAATTGAGAACATCGTGAGATTTAATGACATGGATGATCATGCGTATTTAAAAGTTATCACCAAAATTGAAAGAACTTATAAAATAGTTCTGGAAGTATCCCCTGATTTAACAGGAGGCTATGTCTGGTTGGGTTGGAGAAAGTGTTCCCTTGTTGATCATCTGCGGATAATCCAGTGCTTCATATGCTGTAAGTTCGGACATATTGCTAAGCAATGCAAATCGTCTACCTCTGCATGCATCAAATGCTCAAGGGATCATATGGCGAATCAGTGTGAGGTCGCAAGTGACCAGGTGATATGTATAAATTGTGTTAGTTATGGTTCTAAGTCACCCGTCCAAGTTAATCATGCTGCAAATGATTCTAATTGTCCAGCTTATATGTATAAATTTGAAAAATAGAATTAACGTTGACTAGCAATTAGTTGAGCGTTTCTTCTTTTGTATATATATTTGCTTTATTTTTAACTTTTTATTATTTTTGTTAATATCCCTGAATCCATATGGAACCTATAAGTATTACGAAGAAGTGCAAAATAGGTTACCTAAATGTAAGATCTCTGATGTCCAGCTTTGACGCATTTACGGACATGATGAATGAGAATGATTTTGACATTCTTGCTCTAAAGGAAACATGGTTAAGCCCTGATATCACAATGGATGTAGTTAACATCAGAAATTTTAACTTTTTTCGCAAGGACAGGTTGTCTCGTGGTGGTTTTTTTGTGGTGTTTATATTAGACAAGATATACGTGCTGAGATTATTGATGACATCGCACTAAACACAGTTCCGTTTTTAGAGCAGCTATGGGTAAAATTATTTTTCTGTAGGTATATTGTATCGTCTCCCTTCACAAAGGCTAGTTGATTGTACAAATGCCTTAGAAAATATAATGCCTAATGTACTGAGTAATTTTAAAAACAATATTATCCTTGGTGATTTAAATGTAAAATTATTTGCCGATAATACCTTACAACAAAGTTTGGATATGTATGATTTCAAGCAAATTATTGATGCTCCCACTAGAGTGACAGTACAGCAACTCTCCTGGACCCAATTTTTATTAATAACCCAATCACTGTCACTAACTGGTTTACTTTAGATGCTAATTTGTTGTCCGATCATAGAATTGTGTGCTGTATATTAAACATATCCCGTGTGAAACATGAACAGAAAATGATCACCTTCAGAGATCTCCCACACTTTGATGAGCGATCTTTCATTGATGACCTGGCTACAGTAAATTTTATTGAAATGTGCTATATGAGGAATATTGATGATAAAGTTCAATTTTTAAGTAGCAAGTTAATTGACATCTTCGATCATCACTCTCCTATAAGGACGGTACGCGTGAGTAAGCCGAAAGCGCCGTGGTTGTCGTTGAGACAGCTTCTAACGCAAAAAACGAGAGCATATTATTTATACAAGATAGACAGTAGTCTAGAAAGATTGCAGGTTTTTAATGAACTTAGAAACCTTGCACTATCGTGCATTAGACATGAAAAATGGCGTATCTTGCTCACTTGGAAAAAGGGCGTGATCAGAAAAAATTGTGGTATGAATTGAAAAATATGAAAGCACAGACATCTGATAAACCAAGTATTCCAAACCATCTTGCAGATTCGTTCGATTCGACAAATGCTCCTGATTACGTTTTAAGGTATTATAACGAAAATTTTCCTCATATTAATAAATTTTCTTTCAGGCTTCTAGAGCCTCATGAAGTAGTTTTAAGTCCGATGCAAAAGGTACTGACGTGTTGAGCTTGTCTATGATTAAGCTCAGTCTGCCTGTTTCTCTCATCTACATTACCCAAGGAGGGTACCATGTTAATAGTTGTCTTGAAAGAGGTTATTTCCCTGAAACGTGGAAGCGAGCAATGGTGGTACCAGTTCCACAAAAATCAAATCCAGATGAGTTTGCTGATCTAAGACCCATAAGCCTGTTGCCTTTTTTATCGAAGGTTGTTGAAAAGGCAGCCCACATACAACTAATGCGTTATGCAGAGGAACATATCATCCCATCTAATCAGTATGCTTTTAGGAAATCTTTCAGTACTACTACTTCCCTCTTAAACTTGGTTGATAATATTATTACAGCACTTGATAAAAAAATGGGCGTAGCAGTAATGTCAATCGATTACTCCAAGGCATTTGACAAAATAAATCATGAGTTGTTAATAGCAAAGAAGTATTAGTGCATAGATCCAATTGCATTGAACTTTTTTCGAAATTATATATCAAATCGATCGCAGTGTGTATCAATTGGGGTCTGTTTTGGGTCCTTTGTTGTTTTTGATATATATTGCAGATATGCCTAAGGCTGTGAGTTTTTGTGAACTCCAGTCTTTTGCGGACGATACTCAACTGGTCCACTATTTTGATACTGATGATATGGAAATGGCACAGACATCAGTGAACCATGATATTCAAAAAGTGTATGACTTCTCGAATAACCACAACCTGTCAATAAATCCTGGTCAATCCAGCCTGTTATTTTTTTGGTCGGATCGTAGGAGAGAAGAAATTAAAAGTCAATTAGCTATTAAAATTGGATCTCAAAGACTGTACCCGGTCGATGAAGTTAAAATTCTTGGCGTGGTAATCGATTTCAAACTTACTATAGACTCACAAGCCATGTCAAAAATCTTTTGAAGAAAACCTACTTTAGACTGATATCACTTATAGTGAATATATTCCAATAAAGCAATTTTCAATTCTAAACTAAGGAAAAACCTGTGCTCATCTTTGGTTATGCCGATTTTCAACTACTGTGATATTTTACGTATATTATCCGTGCCTCGATGTTGTTTCTAGAAATCGGGTTCAAATTGTGCAAAACAATTATGCTAGGTTCATCTGCGGCGCTTAGACCATGTTTCTGGTAGTCTTATTGAATTAAATTGGACAACAAAAAGCATTATTAAATATCATTACCTTGTTTTCAATCGTAAACTAATACTTATGTCAAAACCTATTATATACTTAAGAGAAAAGCTGATCTTTAGGCGTAATATTCATCATAGACATATTAGATCTCCAAATTTGATAACTACACCTATTCACTCCATAGCTTTATTCCAGCGTTCTCTCACGTACTCTGCTGCAATGTTATACAATGCCTTGAGTCCTGAATTCAAAACCATGTCCTTAAATTGCTTCAAGCAAGCTGTCAAATCTCATATCTGCTTGGATCCATAGTCTTAATTAGATTGCTATAGATATATATTGTTAAATGTTTCTTTACTTCCTTGGTGCAACATGTATATATGTATATATATATATTTTTTTTGTTTGATATCTGCTACTTAACAACTTGTTTTTTTTGCATGGGTGGTTAAGTGTAAGAGTAGCATGTTGCTAAGCTTCGCCACCATATGTAACTCTTGTTTCTCTGTATGAAACTGCACAGTTTAAATAAAGACGTTTATTATTATTATTATTATTATCATTATTATCATTATTATTAATTATTATTATTATTATTATTATTATTATTATTTGTATTCTAAATATTTACTTCGACGAGGACGGAACATAATTACATGATCAAACGAACTTACCTGTAAGTGATGTTCGATCTTAATTATGTGAAGTCCTTGTCAAAGTAAATAGTTCCCTCGCTCCCTATGTACCACCCAATTGTTGCAATAACTTGGCTTTGAAGAAAATGAAGGGTGCGGTGCCGCTTTCCTTCGCCGCGTGCGTGCTTTAAAATCGTGGGAGTTGGGTACTACTACGAGGGTACTACGATATGTATCCTAAATATTTACTTTGACGAGGACTTCACATAATTAAGATCGAACATCACTTACAGGTTGATCATGTAATCAGCCGGAATTTTAATAAACAGCAAACCAGGCAATCCTACCAACACCTTATAACTACATGTGTTTCGCCTATACCCATCTTCACTGTTGAATACCTAGACAATGCAGTTCAAGAAATGTTGATAGGATTCTTTATCTTTGGATGAATGTGTGTAGAATATATTGAGGGCTTGAGAGAACATATTTAAAGCTTTAGCTTTAGAATTCGCCAAAGGCTTTAGAAGGGTGTGTGTAAAATATATTGAGAAAACTAAGAGAGTCACTTGTCTTATCAAACAGCAAGTCTGTCAGTCCTTTCAACACGTTATACTCGTGATTCGTCCGTGCTTATCTTCACTGTCAAATGCCTATCAAATCTATATGATAGAATTCGCCAAAGGGTATCCTTTAGGTGAGTGTGTGTAAAATATGTTGACAACACCACCTAACGTACTGGTTTTAGTGAACAGCAAGCCAGACAGTCCTCTCAATATTGTATACAAGTCATTCGCCTGTGCCCATCTTCTCTGTCAAATGCCCATAAAGTCTAAAAAGGAGCCTCACCTTTAGAATTCGCCAAAAGGTATCCTTTAGATGAGCATGTGTAAAATATATTGAGAAAACTAATCGATCTACTGGTTCTATTAAACAGTAAACCAGTCAGTCCTCTCAATACGTTATACACGTAATTCGTCTGTGATTATCTTCTCGGTCAAATGCCCATAAAATTTAGTACAATTCTGAAAAGTAGTCTTACCTTCAGAATTCTCCAAAAGGAATCCTTTAGCTCAGGGTGTGTAAAATATACTGAGAGAACTAAGCGATCAACTGGTTTTAATAAACAGCAAGCGCGTCAGTCCTCTCAATACGTTATACACGTCACTTATCTGTGCCTATCTTCTCTGTGAAATGCCCATGAAGTCTAGTACAGTTCAAAAAGGGAGCGTTACCTATAGAATTCACCAAATGATATCCTTTAGATGAGTGTGTGTAAAATATATTGTAACAAGAATGAATAGTACTATTGGCGCCATCTGTTGGGGACCGCGCCAGACTCTCCTACTCGCCAGAGCTTCATCGCCGATCTCTCGCGGATCGTGACGCCTGGCGACATCTGTTGATTACCGTGCCAGTGACTCGCCTTCTAGATCGACGCGAAGTGACCTCGACAATTCTGGAATGCCGCTATGTGGCTAACCGGAATC